GTACAACAGTGAAGAAGCCAGACAGTGCTGATGGCCCATCAGCAAAGACAATGGACCATGGAAGAACTTAACCTTCCTGTGAACATTTTGGCCAGCCTGTAAGCAATGGCTGCTATAACACTGCAATAGGGTGACCAGACAGCAAGTGTGAAAACTCAGGACATGGGTGGGGGGTAATAGGAGCCTATATAAGAAAAAGACCCAAAAATCAGGACTGTCCCTATAAAATTGGGACATCTGGTCACCCTACACTGCAAAGGCATGTGACCAGATGACATGTCTCTGGACTCCATCTTGGGATGTCAGTATTTTTCCACAAACCGGTCTGGGAACCAAGTTTCGTAATTAATAAACTTGTTTTTGCTTTATCTAAACCAGTGAGTTGGAGTGAAGTGCATGGGAAATCATAGCTCAAGGGTCAAAGGATGTTGCATTTCCTCTCCACATTGAGGGGGGGAGCCAACTGGATAATAAATTCATACTGGTTGTGGTTTGGACCAGGACAAAACGGTACTGCTCTGGGGTCCTAAGCTGGGAAACTGGTGGTTATTTTGGCTGTAGCCTCTCTATTGTTGGTCCCCATGCAGTGGCTGGTCAGCGAGCCTGCATGTAACTTGCAGCTGGGTGTGTCCTTAGCTATGTGTATGCTGGTGGAAGTGTAAGACCACAGGACCATGTCTGCAGCTTGACACAGCAGCACAATGAGAGAGTGAGCCCAGGCTGGTGGGTCAGAGGGCTCAGTGGTTCTCCAGTTCCAGATGGCACCCCAAGGGGTGCCACCTGTAACATTCATATAACAAATATTTGCCTTTCCAGGGCATGACAGGCATAACAGAACTGTATGGAAACAAGAGACACCAATATACCAAATCTGCCAAGCCCTACTAGTTTGTGGAGCTGCTTTCCCTCTTTAATCAAGAGGTACAGTGCAATATTCATCAGATCCCCTTTTAAGATAGGGGGAAACATTAAGCCAAACAGAGATGTTTCTGTTATCCCAAGATCTCTTTCACATATCCACACTCACCCATGACACACCTTGGTGAAGTAGATTTAAGAAAAATACGTATACATTTTTAAAGCATCAAAACATTGTAAAAAGACATCCTCATATTTGAAGCCAAGAAACTATGGAAATAAATTTTACTGTCCCCTAATATTCCCATTCCCTAAATTAAATATAAAAACCAGACCATTCTATGCCTCACATGTTTCAGCAATCATCATCAACATGGAAAAAAAGTATAACATCATCCAGCCCCATCTTCCTGCTAATATATTTTAGGGCTGTCGATTAATTGCAATTAACTCATGTGATTAACTTAAAAAAATTAATCACGATTAAATTGTAGTTTTAATCGCACTGTTAAATAATAGAATACCAATTGAAATTTATTAACTATTTTTGGATGTTTTTCTACATTTTCAAATATATTGATTTCAATTACAATACAGAATACAAAGTGTATAGTGCTCAATTTATTTGATTATTTTTATTACAAATATTTGCACTGTGAAAAAAACAAAAGAAACAGTATTTTTCAATTCACCTCTTAAAAGTACCATAATGCAATCTCTTTATCATGAAAATGCAACTTACAAATGTAGATTTTTTTGTTACATAACTGCACTCAAAAAACAAAACAATGTAAAACTTTACAGCCTACAAGTCCACTCAGTCCTACTTCTTGTTCAGCCAACTACTAAGACAAACAAATTTGTTTACATTTACGGGAAATACTGATGACTGCTTCTTATTTATAATGTCACCTGAAAGTGAGAACATGCATTCGCATGGCACTTTTCTGGCTGGCACTGCAAGGTATTTATATGCTAAACATTTGTATGCCCCTTCATTCTTTGGCTACCATTCCATGCTGATGACACTGCTTAAAAAAATTATGTGTTAATTACATTTTCACTGAACTCCTTGAGGGAGAATAGTATGTCTTCTGCTCTGTTTTACCCACATTCTGCCATGTATTTCATATTATAGCAGTCTCGGATGATGACCCAGCATGTTATTCACTTTCACTGCCGATTTCACAAAATGCAAAGAAGGTACCAACGTGAGGTTTCTAAAGATAGCTACATCCCTCGACTGAAGGTTTAAGAATCTGAAGTGCCTTCCAAAATCTGAGAGGGATGAGGTGTGGAGCATGCTTTCAGAAGTCTTAAAAGAGCAATACTCCAATGTGGAAACTACAGAACCTGAACCATCAAAAAAGAAAATCAACCTTTTGCTGGTGGCATCTGACTCAGATGATGAAAGTGAACATGCGTCAGTGTGCACTGCTTTGGATCATTATTGAACAGAACCCGTCACCAGCATGGACTCATGTCCTCTGGAATGGTGGATGAAGATGAAGGGACATATGAATCTTTAGCACATGTAAATGACTTGCAACGCCGGCTACAACAGTGCCATGTGAATGTCTGTTCTAACTCTTAGGTGACATTGTAAACAAGCAGCATTATCTCATTCAAATGTTTGTCTAAGTGACTGGCTGAACAAGAAGTAGGACTGAGTGGACTTGTAGGCTCTAAAGTTTTAGATTGTTTTGTTTTTGAATGCAGTTTTTTTTTTTACATAATTCTACATTTGTAAGTTCAACTTTCATGATAAAGAGATTGCATTGCAGTACTTGTATGAGGTGAACTGAAAAATACTATTTCTTTTGTTTTTTACAGTGCAAATATTTGTAATAAAAATAAATATAAAGTGAGCACTGTACACTTTGTATTTGTGTTGTAACTGAAATCAATATATTTGAAAATGTAGAAAACATCCAAAAATATTTAAGTAAACAGTATTCTATTATTGTTTAACAGTACGATTAATCATGTGATTAATTTTTTTAACCACGCAATTAATCAAGATTATTTTTTTAAATTGCTTGACAGCCCTAGTACATTTTCTATTGTGTTGTCCAGCCTAGTTTTCAGGGCTTTCATTACTTCCCTTAGTAAACAATTTCACAGTTTGAGAAAGGTCAAAGTTTTTCCTAACATTTATCCTAGATTTCCCCTTAATTTTGTCCCCACACAGAAATATACCCCATCTTGTATTACTATAAATAGTTCTTCTCCATCTTTTGTTTTTACATCCTTCAAAACCTTAATACTCAATGACTCCTAAGCTATTATCCAAGCCATGCTTAGCTCATTTATTCTTTCCTCAAATCAATCTCTATAACCCCAATATCTTTCATTGATTTTCTCTAAATCTGTTCCTCTTTGTGAGCACCTTTTTAGTAATATGGTGCCCCAAAGTCAAAGTACTAGGAGGTATGATTACACCCAAGACTATCATTTCCTCTTTACTCCATGTTTCTCTGTACACATCCAAAAGGTGCAGTGGCCTGTTTGTTGCCATATCACATTGCAAATTGATGTCAGTACAGTGCCATATAAATTCATTTATACAATACTGTTCTGAAACGGGGTTCAGCTGGTTGCTGCAAAACCTGGACAGAGATCTTTGAGCACCTCTCCGATGCAGCAAAGATGAAAGTTCCATGGATATTTCTCTCTGAGGTCTGGTCTACACCTAAAACTTAAGTTAACCAAGCTACATCACTCAGGGCTGGAAAAACAGTCTCACAGGACAAAAATTTAGGACAACCTAACCCCCACCTTGGATGCAGCCAGGTCGACAGAAGACTTCTTCTGTTGACATAGCTACTGTCTGTCGGAGAGGTGGATTATCTACATCAATGGAAAAACCCCTTCTGGCAACGTAGGAGTGTCTACACTACAGTGGTACAACTGCGGTGCCATGGCTGTGACTCTGTAGCATAGACATAGCTGGAATCAGCTAACCACAAAGCAGCTGAGAGCTGGATATCAAACCTAACCATTATGCCTACCATGTTTTAAAGGAAATATGTTTAATTTGCTAGATGATGGACACCATGTGTTTGGGAAATGCTGAAGCGTTCTGAAAAGCAAATGGAAATCCAGCTTCTTTGCAATAACACATTAGGATTGCATCCAATTTATCTGATTGCATAGTTGGAGAAAATCACCTGGTGGCCCAAGAATCTTTATTAGTCTAATTTTATTTCTTATAAGTTCAACTAAGATTTTGTAAGCACATTCATGCAATAGCCTTTAAAGTTGTTTTTTCCCTGTAGAAAAAAGAGGGTTTCAGTTTGTAAATCTGTGCATCACCCTAGTGTATTATCATTCCACTGCCCTCAGGCTGACTCTACAATAAAGGAATAAGGAGTGTGACATTTTGTGACTGCTCATGTTTATGGAACAAAGCCCAGCGTCATCCACCTCAAACACGCGGTTACAGTTTCAGGGGAGTTTGGTGACAGGAAAGAGTTAGTTTTGTCCTCCAGAAGTAATCTCTAGTTCCCTGGTTAAGATCAGCGTTTGGTCCCTAGGAAGCAGCCCCAGCGCTGCCTTTCACCACGGTGACTGTTCAAGCTACACACGCGAAGGGTGGCCGCACGTGGGGAGGGAGGGCGGGCGAGCAGCCCAGGGACTCTGGGCACCCCCACAGCCTTGGGAGGAAAGGCACTGCTGGCACCGGGGACGCGGCCATCTAGAGCGGGGCTCAGGTCCCTGCCGTAGGCCTGCGGGGATCGCTGCTCGGGCGCTCCCCGGCTGTGCTGCAGCACGAACAAGCAGGAAGCGCGTAGGGTGGCGCGTCCACACGCGGATGTAAACGGCCCCCAAGCCCGGAGCGGCCCCGGGACTCAACAACCCCCGCCTGGAGCCCGAGGACTGACACTCCGACGCCGCGGAGATGGGCACGGACACGGGGAGCGTCCCCGCCAGGTCTCTGCGCGGGGACCGGCCTGGCCGCGGGCGCGCAGCGTGGGACAGCCCCTTCCGCGGCGGGCTCCAACTCCCCGCGGGCCCAGGAGTGCGGAGCTGTAGCGACCTTCGCGCCACTGGGCTACACCCCGCTGGAGAAAGCGGGACCTTGTCGCGGCCCCCAGGCCAGGACCCGCCCCAGCATCGCGGGACGGGGTCTCCTCACCTACCCATGCCGGCTTGGGTGCCGGGGCAGCGCGCCGCCCGAGCCCATTGAGGAACTAACAGGAGCCGCCCCGCCCCTCCCTCGGGCTGGCGGGGCACGCCCCCGGCGGGCCAAGCCCCCCCTGGGAGACGTCACTTCCGGGGGCGCCACATAAGTCTCTCGCGCGGAACTACTACTTTGTCTCGCCAGGCCAGAAAAAAACGGTCTTGGCCCCCGCAGGGCAGGATATCGCGATAGCCAGGTGCGTGTTTATGACTCCAATGTGTGATTGGTTATCGCTGTACGTGCTCGACTCGTTGCTTCCTGGCAACAAGGGGGGAAATATCGCGCAGGGACGCAAGGTTTGTTTTGCGCATGTGCAAATCCTCTCAGGCAAACGGAGCTTAGAAACGGCTGGTCGGTACTAAAGACCCCAGCTTGCATTGCAGTCTCGCGAGGACAACCATTCTCGGCGCATAAGGCTCTATTTTCATCTCCATGGCGACTAAAGTGTTCCAGGCTGCGCCGCCTGGCTGGGGGGTAATCGGAGCGGTGCATGCTGGGAATCGTAGTTCACGTGGCTCGGAGTACTCCGGCTGCTGCGGCGGAGAGCGGGGCTCGGCGTGGGCTTCCCCAGGGCTGAGGGAGGGACGCAGCCACGCTCAGTCTGCAGCCTAGCATCTCCTGCTCCGAGGCGCCCGCCCTGCCGGCCGTAGCACTGGACACAGAGAGTCCGTGAGTGAGGTGGGTAGGGCTGGGCGGGGGCCTTCTTCGCCGCCCTGCCCCTGCCCCAGGGTGTGACCGCCGGGCTGCCTGGTCCTTCAGCTCCGCTCAGGGCCCTTAGCTGGGATTTGGGATGATTGGGGTTGGGAAACTCCGCTGCCCACTCAGGCGCAGGTCCCGTCTCCTGGCGCGTGTGGCAGTGGGGCTCGCCCATCAGTACTCCCGCAGAGTAAACTTCCACGCAGAAAACCAACCCTACCTTTTGCGGTTGCGAAGATCATCTTCAAAATGCGTAACAGTCTACACTAGTGGGGCTCAACCTTTTTTCATTTTCAGACCCCCTTGGAAATCTTAGACATAGTTTGCAGCCTTGCAGACCTCCCCGGGGGCCATGGCCTGTCTGCCCAAGCCCACAGACAGATGGCTCCAGTGCCAGCTGCTGCCGATGGATAGCTCTGCCCACCAGCAAGGTGATATTAACAAGACTTTTTTCAGTTTCATGTTGCCTTGCAGCATCTTCTGGGCAGCAGTGAAAAACATCTGTTTTGCATCCCCACTCCCCCCATAAGTGTTAAAAGAACATCAATGTTGCAAAATCAAGCACTCAAGTTAAGAAATGCCAGAATGACAGTTGCCCATGCAACCTTCATTCACTTCCTTGTGTGTACCCATTATGATCATCTTTAATTACACAGTCAAACTTTTTTCCCTATAGGACCCCTGCCTCATTCTTTACGCGGGATGCACTGTGCTCTGGGGAGCTGAGTCAGGGTTGTATAGTGAAGGGGCTTTTGCCTCTAGGATTCATGCTCTATTTGTTTCAGAAGTTGGAAGGTACACAAGGAAAGAAACTGGAGACTACAGGACAAGAAAATACGGTAGTATGTGGTCATGTAATTAAAGACTATCAGAATGCATATGCACAACAGAGGTTAAATTAAGATTGTACAGACAACTTGACATTTCCCAGTAATTTCCTAACCTTTTCAGTGCTTGACTTCTCCTTAACACTGTTTTAATGTAGCATTTTGGGATGTAAATTCTTAATTGTTTAAAAACCACTGAATAAACAGAAATTCCATCTTGGAGAACCATATTAACCCTTCAACTTCACTTCATGCATTGGGCCAGATCCTAGCCTCCCCGTTCTCGGGGCTGTGTTGCTTTATACCAGCTGCCTGTGGCCCCTAAATTCTATTCTGGCAGCTGGATCTGAGCCTAGCCTGGCCTGGCCTGGCGCTGTGAGAGGGAGGGGAGAGAAGATGCTGCTGATGAACCATGCCACTTGTCAGTCCTCCTAAGCAGAGGGACTCCTTAGATAGCTGGTTAAGGGCTGCTTTGCACCACTTGAATAGCAGAAAGTAGCGGGAATAGATTCAATAATCTGGCCCAATATAAGCAGTAATATCTGATGAGTTGCAAGACACTTCCCATTCCCTTTCCTTCTATTGTTTGTCATGTTCACTTGTTGAGACATTAATGAAATTGTAAACTGCCTGGGTGCATCCAGACTAGGAAAAGTTGTCATGATGGAGGCGGGTGTTTCCCTGCAACCTGCTCACTTGTTAGGACTATAATTGCCTCATCCACACTGATTTTGACATTGCTAGCTAACAAGCAATTTAAAAAAGCCAGCCTCTTCTAGTTACTCCAGAGAGAATTATGTGACAAAAATAAAAATTCTGTGTACCCCCCCCCCCCCAAAAAAAATATTCTGCACCCAATATTTTAAAATTCTGCAAGTGTTATTTGTCAACAAATAAATGCGGAGGCTCAACATGGTAGCCCCCCAACACAGACTTGGCAGTGAGACTGTGCCCAAACCTGGCACAGTGCAGGGGCCAGGCCTGCCCCAGAGGTCTGTGTCGTGGGGTCAGAGGGGAGAGGGAGGGCTGCTGGGTGATTTCTGACCTCCATACAGCCAGTGACCTGTGCTCCCCACTGCCATGCTGGAGCCTCCGCATTTAATTATTGACAAATTTTTCAGAATTTTAAAATTGTGCTCAGAATTTTTATTTTTTTGGCACAGAATTTTTGGGTGCAGAATTCCCTCAGGAGTAGGAGGTGAAGCAACTCACTAGTGTTAGCAGCCCCATGCCAGGGGCACCAAGTGTGAGCAGGGAGTCTCAGCCCAGCAGGATCCAAGTGTGGAGGGGCTTAGTGTGGAGGGCAATCTGGGTGTGCATGGCTCAGTGGGGGGGAGGGGCGCAATGGGGCACTGCAGGGGGTCCAGGTGAAGGTTATTGGGGCTCAGCAGAGGGGGCTGGGTGTGGGGTGATGGGGCTCAGCAGGGGGTCTGGGTACTGGGGAAGTGGGGCTTGGTGGGGTGTGGGTCCAGGTGAAGCTGGTTGAGGTTCAGTGGGGTGGGGATTTGGATGTGGGGAGCTCACAGGGTGGTCCTGGTACATAGGGGGTGGGGCTCATCAGGGTGGGGGTTTGAGGTTGGGGGACTCAGCAGGGTGTGGCTTGGGTACATCGGTGGGGGGTCTGGATGCAGGAAGGGTGGGGTTGGTGGTGGGAGGGGCTTGATGGGGGTCCAGATGCAGGGGGGGTTGAGGCTTGGTGGGGGAGTCTGGGGGGATCCAGTTGCAAGAGGGTTGGGCAGATGGGGGAGCAGCTCCCCGTAAAGTGATCCCTCCCTCTGCAGCTGAGAAATGATGGGGGCAGGAAACGGGAGGTACAGAACCAGGGGAAGTTTCTGGAGGCAGGTCAGACCCAGCCACTTAGTGCAGGGGAATTGCACTCTTCCCCCAGCCCAACCAGGACTAGCAGATGAGCCTGGTGCAGGGTACAAGCCACTGGCTGGGAAGGGCAGGGTGCAGGGGGTGAGACTCAGTGGGTGGAGGTTTGGGGGGCTTTTGGCAAGGGTTCTGGTTATGGGGGGGGGGTGAGGCTCAGAGGGGTCTGGGTATGGGGGCAGGTATGCAGGGGGTTGGGTGGACAGGGCATGTGTCTGATCTGGCACAGGCCAGGGTGTCCTCAGCCCTGCCCCCCCCCTCCCCCGCAGTGATTTACCTCTCCACGAGATGCTCCAGGTGCCCAAAATGATACATCCACGCTGCTGGGGAGGGGCACGTGACCACTCTTGCAGCTTCCTTTTGCTTCCCTGTCAGAAAGACATCTAATTTGGTGTGAAGAAAAGCACACAGTAAGAAAGAAAATACTAAAACTGAAACAATCCATAGGGATATAGGAAATTCTTAGTGCCCAGGAAGGAAGCTTATTTAGTTTTTTCCAGCAAAGCACTTAAGTACATGTTTAAGCATTTGCTGTAGTGTTTGTTGAGTTAGCCATCATACTTGTGATCTACAATATAATCTACTTATCAACCCTTTTTTTCAAACTAATATAGTTGCTACCATTGCTGTAGATGAGTAAAGACTTCTCACTTAACCAAAACAAAAGCAGTTTTCCTGCACAGGAAGACATTGGAGAAATTCTAAATAGTGGTGTGTGATTTCATGCTATTCTAACAAATACTGTATGTTATGTGAAAGACATTCACTGTTTCCAGGGACTTGGTGTATGTGGTACTTAGAAAACTTATTACATTTAATGCAGCTTAGCTTTTTAATGCTGTTGTTCCAGCATGTCTGATCTTATAGCAATAGTATAACTCAAAATTGGAAATATGAATGTTGATTACTTATTCTGTTATTTTACATAAGTTAAAACAATCTCATTGCTGTGTAGCTGATCGCTCCTCTCCCCATCTGCTTCTTGCTGTTTGTTATCCCATATATATCACTTCCACCAGTTGAGTCAGACCAGCCTCTGGGTTGCTCCAATTTATGCTGGCAGTTTACACTTATCGTGGCTCCCAAAGAACCACTCTGCCAGCCAGGATCACCAGAGCATATTGTGTTCAGGCCCCACTCCTGATATAGCCCATCCCCATCCACAAATGTCCTCTATGCTGGAGGACCGGGATCAGCTGGTATAAGCTTAGCTACTCCAGACCTATAGCACCTGAGGAGTCTCTCCTGCCTTACAGCTGTAGTAAGCCCCCTTTGCGTTTCTGCAGTATTACAAATGGAACTTATATGTACATGAAAGTCTGGCCCATGATGTCCAAAATTAGACATTCTATGGGGTAAAAGACCTTGTCTTTCTGTTGACCTGTGAAGCACAATTTTAGGTTCCTTAAAAATAACAAAACAACACTTAGACCTGCTATGTGTTATTGATATTTATGAAATCTCATTAATGGCAAACACATGACATTTCATTTTTTTGGAGGGGGAATATACTGCATATTCATGCATACATAATAATTGTAGAGCTTTTCCCCTCCCAAGAGTTTAACGAGGAAGGTATAAACAGTAAACTGAAAATACCCACTGATTTACATTTTCAGTGTTCAAATAGAAACATTAATAAGACCGTACAAGACACAATGGATCACTTCCAAAGTGACTAGGTAGTGTCAGTTCCTCTTAATCATTTGTCTCTTGTCAGACATAGTATGGAAACTAACATTCTGATTATGTGCTCTGTCACACTGTCCATCTTGTGATGCAGTGCAAGGATGAGTGGGAAAATTGCTTACACACCAAGAATAATTTCCTAATTACATTAAGGAATTATATAGCATGTCAGTCTGCTATGGCCTGATCTTGCGCCCATTGAAGTCAGTGTAGCAGGATCAAACTGTAAAAATTGAAACTCTTGCTTATAAATGCTGGATCAGATTTTTTAAAAATGGACTACTGGAAAAAATCCATGTAACTTGCATGGATTTTTCTGTCTTTCACATGTCATTTATTGGGAATTATTCTGAAGCTACTAATGTTAGACCTAAGCTTTTCCTGTGCTAATGACATATTCTATTAGTGGCATTTCAGTTTATTAACATGAACCGAGGAAAGTCAACACATGAGTGGGGAAGAAATTGTTACCTGTCGTGCAAAGTCTGATTTCAAAATTTAATTTGCCTGACAGATTAATGAGCAAGATAAGCTTTTGTGGTAATCTCTATTCTGGGAGTTATTTTTGTCTATTTTTTCCCATCAAGATGCCTGTCTGTCTGGGTAGATACTTATATGATCCCCAACCATAGTATTTGAGAGCCTTATAAGTATTTAAAAATAGAAATAGCAATCTCCCTCTGTGGTTTCATTGTCTTTGTAAGGGATGTGATGGAAGCCCCATCGCTTGGATTTTTTACAATATAATTGTAAACAACATCATGTATAGGCAGAGGGATTGATTACGTGATGTGATAGGTGTTGTGTATGTTTTACATCTGAGTAAAGGACGAGATAAATGATGTAGCAAGATGGCCATAAAAATGGAGTAAGGGAACAGAGTGTTTAGCACAACAATTAATATGGCCAGATATTTACACAGGAGAAAATTACTAAGACAAAAATTATATTGAAGTGTTTAGACTATGTAAAGTTTGTTTGAGCAATATATTTACAGAAAACTTTCTATGTTGTGATTTCAGGAATTTGTCAATGTACAATTTCTGATTTCCACTTAGGTTATAACATCTATCTGTGGCTGTCTTTTACTCTATTCTTACCACAGACTCCTTGCACTACAGGGCAGGAGGGTGGCACTGGGGTCTGTCTATGAAGAGGTCAATCGTTAAAGATCATCAGCATCTGAGTAGAAATTGCCTGGGTGGAAAAAAGAGTAACTGCATCCTAGATAAAACCAGTTTTCTCCAACTTCTCTACACAATACTAGGGTTTGAAGGAATTGCCTCCCCTCAGGAGAGGGAACAAAGTGATGCAGCATTGGTATAGCCCTTTAAAAACACAGCAACTGGATGGGTTAGAGAGACAAAGGATGCGGCAGGAGAAGAACAAAGGGACAGTTTTTTGGAAGGAGAAGGCATTTAGACTGTAGAACCAGCCGAGGCTGAAAGAAATTGACTGCGGGAGATAGAAAGTCTATAAGTCAGAGAAGCCATGAGCTGCAGCCGGGGGAGTCTAGACACCCATGAGGACTCTGACCAAACTCCAAAGAATGCTTGAGTTGTGAGGAAACTGAAGCAGGGAAGGGCATAACGGTGTTTTATTGTTTTTTACCTACATCTCCATATCGCTTGTGCTGCCTAAAGTAGAAAGTCACTGTTTTTAGAAATCCCTTTTGCATAGCCGCTGTCTGTTTGCTTCAACTTTCACATGTCTCTGAAGAGAGAAACTATAAACCAAAGAGCCCACGAGGTTGGAGCTCTAGGAGAGGGTGTGCTTAAGCAACTGGGGAGTCCGGGAGAGCTCTCACTAGTCTCAAGGTCTACGCAGATGGACTGCAGTGTCTTAGATCTCAGGAGGGGGTGCTACAAAGAGAATCTGCACCCTGAGAGTCGTCCTACAAACCCAGAGCCATAGGCCATACCTGGACCATTTTCAGATTCAGGAAAGCATAAAAGCACATGGGTCCATCATGTGGAACCCAAACACAAGAACGTGGTGAGGAAGGGGGACAGTCAGACGTGTAGAATTGATATTCAAGCATAAGTGAATGAAGGGGCTACAAGGATCTAGTAACAGTTGGAGCAGCTGTCACTGCAATACACTGTAAAATATTTGTGCATTTTAGGCAAACAATGGTTCGTAGTGGAAAGAATGGTGGGCTCCATCTGAAACAAATCTCCTATTACAAACGAACAGGAGAATATCATCCAACTACGTTAGCAAGTGAGAGAAGTGGAATAAGAAGAGCAGCCAAAAAATTTGTTTTCAAAGGTTAGAAATATTCTCTCTCTTGGGAAATGCATTACTTCCTGGTTTCCTTCAGGTGAAGACTTGCTCATAGCATATTGAGAACAGTGTCTTTTTTTTTGTTTGTTTTTGTTTTTGTTTTTTTGTACTTTCTTTATAAAATAAAACTCTTCTGTCTATCCCAGGTTAGCATATACATGAACTTATTCTCAAAAATAGAAAATCTGTCCCCTTTGGCCTCTTTATCAGCATGTTTAATTGTATTTAAAGGATATGGAGATCCATCTAATAATTAAAGCCCATTTTAGCTACTAGTGAAATCTGTAGCTATTGGGGGACCGAGACTCAAGGAAACTCAAAATGTAAGCCCTTAACTTTAACTCCTGACGAGGAGCATTTGGTTTACCACAATAGTTAGGGCTGAAGGGAGTGGCACAGAGCGGATGGTAGTTTGGCTCACAAGGTGTTCATGTGGGAAATGGAGGGATGTGCAAAAAGCTTTTGGCAGAGCTAATTGCACACGCCAGCAGAAACTGTGAAGCATGTGACCCTCTTAGTCTTAATAGATTATGCTTCAGAGAGGCTTTATGGGGGAATGCAATCTCTCTTGTGCTCTTATGGGGATAAGTAAGGGTGCATTGCTCTGTATTCAGAGTTAATGAAGTACTGCAGTAAACAAATATTCCCTGCAAAAGATAGATTTGGTATGTAATTGTACACAGCTGAAAATGATGAATAATAGGAGTTTAATAAAATACATAACCAAGTATATCCAATAGTTTAATAGACTTCTGTGATCATTCTGTCTTGGTGATGACACATAATCTGTAATATTTTTTTCCTTCCAGAAAATAAGTTGTTCTATGTGGGAAAAGACAGGAAACAGATGCGTTTGGTAATTGTTTCAGATGAGGAGAAGAAGAGAGTGCTACGCAAATGCCATGAAAGTGCTGCAGGTGCTCATCATGGCATATCGAGGACTCTGACTCTGGTGGAGTCTAGTTACTACTGGACTTCCATAACAAATGACGTCAAACAATGGGTATGAGTCATAACTACAGAATATCTTTATCTGATCTTTGTAATAAGCTTAATTGAGATAGTGCTGTTTACTTTGTATAATTCTTTTACAAGACTCGTATCTTTTGCTTCACTTAGTTAACTTAAATAGCTGAACAGATATTTTGTCTCATACTTAAAAATAAGTGTGTGTGTGTGTGTGTGTGTGTGTGTGTGTGTTGAGTGTGTGAGCATGTTTGTGCTAAAAGTAAACCCTAAGTTACTTAAGAACATGTTTTTCATTAAAAGCCAATGGGACTTATGATCTGTAGGTACTTTTGAAAAAAAACACCTTTATCCCCTTGGCTTCTATGAGATTTGTGTTTTTAAGTCACTTGGGGGCTTTTGAAAATTCCTCCTCAAATCGCTATTGGGCTGATACCTAGCTTCAGTTCAGAGAGAGAGACTATTTTCAGTATTATGAGTGAGTGAAAATGTGGTGTTAGAAAAACTAAGTTTGTGAGCTAGATCGTTGGGACTAAACTTCCAATGCTCTGTGTAGCTTGGGGCCCTGAGTAGCTCTAAGACTCTGATTCAGCAAAGCACATGAACTTAAGATTTTTAAATTATTTTTAAAGTTACAGTGTTAGTCAGACAAAGTCAGAACTACAAGTTTAAGATCCCAATAGGATCAGTGTTTACATATGTGCAAGGTGGCCAAGTAGTATTGTCTGTTTCTCCTTTTCTTGTTAACAGTGTAGCTTAATGTATAGCACAATTGCACATTGTAGGCACAGCCTGTACTAAGTGATGGTGAGGGGTTGTGCTGCCTTAGTGAGAACACCAGGAAGCATTCAGACTCAGGGAGGCAGAATAAGTGTAGGTGCTCATAGATACATGGAGGCTGCAAGACCACTGTTAACCCCCTTTATGGGATACAGCTTACTATCCCGCAACACCCACACTCCTCCAGAATGGCTGGTCAGAGCATGAGAAGGACAGAAATTGTGGCTTTGCCAAGCTTTATCTCCTTTTGGGCATTAGGGGTACATGGGGGAAGTTTCTTATGTGGGACACCCAATTGGAAATCTTCTTGTACCCCTTATCACACAAATACAGACAGAATCTGGTCCTGAGACATAAAATGTATATACAGTTACATATACATGTTGTTCAGTGTTGCCATATTATTGTTGCTCTTGTAGTCAGCTACATTTCCTTATACTTCTGATCATCTATCTAACTTTCATGTTAAATGAAAACAGTTCTTTGCATTTAGTTTAGATAGATATAAGATGAGATCCTGCTAAGCAGATAAATCTGGTCTGTGCAGTGCTATGCCAGATTCTGCGTATATAACCTGTGCAACTAGCCAAAGGAAAATCACCTTAGTGCAAGGGACCTTCTGGTGGCATAAAGCCAGCATAACTTGTCCTATGCACGTCACCGCCCTTCTACCAAAGGAGGAAGCTTGACTGGAGCAAAGGGAACATGACTGGGGCTTCCCTACCTGATGCTGACACAAGGAAGAAAGAGAGAGCAGCAGAATACGGACCCTGGACTTCAGAAAAGCAGACTTTGACTCCCTCAGGGAACTGATGGGCAGGATTCCTTGGGAGAATAACATGAGGGGGAAAGGAGTCCAGGAGAGCTGGCTGGATTTTAAAGAATCCTTATTGAGGTTGCAGGAAAAAACCATCCCGATGTGTAGAAAGAATAGTAAATATGGCAGGCGACCAGCTTGGCTAAACAGTGAAATCCTTGCTGATCTTAAATGCAAAAAAGAAGCTTACAAGAAGTGGAAGATTGGACAAATGACCAGAGAGGAGTATAAAAATATTGCTCAGACATGCAGGAGTGAAATCAGGAAGGCCAAATCACACTTGGAGTTGCAGCTAGCAAGAGATATTAAGAGTAACAAGAAGGGTTTCTTCAGGTTTTGTTAGCAACAAGAAGAAAGTCAAGGAAAGTGTGGGCCCCTTACTGAATGAGGGAAGAAACCTAATGACAGAGGATGTGGAAAAAGCTAATGTACTCAATGATTTTTTTGCCTCTGTCTTCACAAACAAGGTCAGCTCCCAGACTGCTGTGCTGGGCAGCACAGTATGGGGAGAAGATGACCAGCCCTCTGTGGAGAAAGAAGTGGTTCAGGACTATTTAGAAAAACTGGACGAGCACAAGTCCATGGGGCCGGATGCACTGCATCCGAGGGTGCTAGGAGGAGTTGGCAGATGTGATTGCAGAGCTGTTGGCCATTATCTTTGAAAACTCATGGCGATCGGGGGAGGTCCCGGATGGCTGGAAAAAGGCTAATGTAGTGCCCATCTTTAAAAAAGGGAAGGAGGAGGATCCGGGGATCTACAGGCCAGTCAGCCTCATCTCAGTCCCTGGAAAAATCATGGAGCAGGTCCTCAAGGAATCAATTCTGAAGCATGTAGAGGAGAGGAAAGTGATCAGGAATAGTCAGCATGGATTCACCAAGGGCAAGTCATGCCTGACTAACCTAATTGCCATCTATGAGGAGATAACTGGGTCTGTGGATGAGGGGAAAGCAGTGGATGTGTTATTCCTTGACTTTAGCAAAGCTTTTAATACGGTCTCCCACAGTATTCTTGCCGGCAAGTTAAAGTAGTATGGGCTGGATGAATGGATTATAAGGTGGATAGAAAGATGGCTAGATTGTCGGGCTCAATGGGTAGTGATCAATGGCTCCATGTCTAGTTGGCAGCCGGTTTCAAGCAGAGTGCCCCAAGGGTCGGTCCTGGGGCCGGTTTTGTTCAATATCTTCATTAATGATCTGGAGGATGGCGTGGACTGCACCCTCAGCAAGTTTTCAGATGACACTAAACTGGGAGGCGTGGTAGATACACTGGAGGATAGGGATAGGATACAGAGGGACCTAGACAAATTAGAGGATTGGGCCAAAAGAAACCGGATGAGGGTTAACAAGGACAAGTGCAGAGTCCTGCACTTAGGACGGAAGAATCCCATTCACTGTTACAGACTAGGGACCGAGTGACTAGGTAGCAGTTCTGCAGAAAAGGACCTAGGGGTTACAGTGGATGAGAAGCTGGATGTGCCCTTGTTGCCAAGAAGGCTAATGGCATTTTGGGCTGTATAAGTAGGGGCATTGCCAGCAGATGGAGGGACGTGATCATTCCCCTCTATTTGACGTTGGTGAGGCCTCACCTGGAGTACTGTGTCCAGTTTTGGGCCCCACACTACAAGAAGAATGTGGAAAAATTGGAAAGAGTCCAGCGGAGGGCAACAAAAATGATTAGGGGACTGGAGTACATGAGTTATGAGGAGAGGCTGAGGGAACTGGGATTGTTTGGTCTGCAGAAGAGAAGAATGAGGAGGGATTTGATAGCTGCTTTCAACTACCTGAAAGGGGGTTCCAAAGAGGATGGATCTAGACTGTTCTCAGTGGTAGCAGATGACAGAACAAGGAGTAATGATCTCAAGTTGCAGTGTGGGAGGTTTAGATTGGATATTAGGAAAAACTTTTTCACTAGCAGGGTGGTGAAGCCCTGGAATGGGTTACCTAGGGAGGTGGTGGAATCTCCTTCCTTAGAGGTTTTTAAGGTCAGGCTTGACAAAGCCCTGGCTGGGATGATTTAGTTGGGATTAGGTCCTGTTTTGAGCAGGGGGTTGTGCTAGATGACCTCCTGAGGTCCTTTCCAACCCTGATATTCTATGCTGATGCCCAGCTGCTGCATTAATCAAAGATAGTGAAGGGTGCTTTAATTTATACTGTGGGTCTAGAACAGCACGCTGAGTCCCAGGATCAGTGGTATTCAAAGTTAACCTTTAAATTACTTTAATACAGCCACCTCCCAACCTGTGCTGGGGTGGTGTTTTTGTTTTTGCTATAGCTGAATATCTATCTCAAATGTTTAATAGTATAAAGAAATGTAAAATAGTGTAAAATGACTGAGTGCTCTAATCTCCAGCTCTCGTTGGAATGATAATATTTAAATGTTTATTCTAGTGACATTATACCTTCGGCAGACACTTGTTAATAATGTCCCTCTTTTCTTGTTTCTGATCCAGGTGTATGCTTGCCAGCATTGCCAGGTGGCAAAGAATACAGCAATCATAGTACCCAAATTACACCCTATCAAAGCAGAGGATCCATGGACTGCAGTCACAATAGACCTAATGGGACCTTTTAATACCACCCGCAGAAACCATATGTATGTCATAATGATGACAGATCTGTTCACAAAATGGGTGGTGGTTCTGCCACTACAAGACACTTCAGCGGTAGAAATTGCTAAGGCAATTGTCAGTGTGTTTTTCTTGTATGGACCGCTTAAAAAAATGGTTATTGATCAAGCAGAAGAGTTTGTTCATCAGGTAAGAGAAGTCCACCCTAAAAAGACTTTATTTTAGGGAAGATGGTATGTTTGATTATAATACCCTTGTATTCTAGACAATCTGAGAGGCTTAGGTGCCAAATTTACAGTGACTTGTTTATGAAAACTGGTGTGTTGCCATTTACCTTTGCGGAGTTGAGGCCATTGACTTTGCTCTCATGATTCAGGGCCTGGTCCAAGCTATCTGAGGATGGGCACTAATTTATAATGCCTTAGATGCCTTAGTCCAGGGATCGGCAACCTTTGGCCGGCCCACCAGGGTAAGCACCCTGGCGGGCCGGGCCGGTTTGTTTACCTGCTACGTCTGCAGGTTTGGCCGATCGCAGCTCCCACTGGCCCCAGGTTGCCGCTCCAGGCCAACGGGGGCAGCGGGAAGCGGCGGCCAGCATATCCGTCGGCCCGTGCCACTTCCCGCACTCCAACCACTTCTACTTCCCGCCTCTAATATGCCCCTTTTGCTCCAAAGCAGCTCCTGTTGAACTTGACACATTAAGCAATAAAATAACTATTTTTCATTGTAATGTATTTGCTCCAGTCTCTATTGACTCATCCAGCATAAGGATGTCAAGTGACTTTCCTGAGGTCACAATCTAAGGCCAGGTCTACACTAACCCCCTAATTCGAACTAAGGTACGGAGCTTCAGCTACGTGAATAACGTAGCTGAAGTTCGAAGTACCTTAGTTCGAACTTACCTTGGTCCACACTCGGCAGGCAGGCTCCCCCGTCGACTCCGCGGTACTCCTCTCGCCGAGCTGGAGTACCGCAGTCGACGGCGAGCACTTCCGGGTTCGACTTATCGCGTCCAGACTAGACGCGATAAGTCGAACCCAGAAGTTCGATCGCTCGCCGCCGAACTACCGGGTAAGTGTAGCCAAGGCCTAAATCAGTGACTCAACCTGAATTAGAACTTTTTGTTGGCCTCCAGCCCTCTGCTGTATGTTGCCTTTCCTTGTGATCTGGTAGAACAGTTTTGCCCCAGGTGGAAAATACTGTACTACTTAGTGATGCTGAAGAACTTTACATTTTCAAAGCACTCTACAAACACTAATTAACACCTCAGAGTTAGAGTGATAGTAATAACCATTCTACAGATGGGGAAAATGACATAGATTTTGATATTCTTGAGGCCATAGTGAGTCAGTAGCAAAACCAGGTTTAGAACTCAGCATGGGTGGATCCCACACCCATGCCCATTCCTTCAGACCACACTGTACTGCTTAAATTGGAACTTGCATGTAGACAAGTGTATACAAGGCAATCTTTTCTGTCACTCATATATGGTGGTAGGAAAGTAGAAACTGTACTGAGTACCTAATATTTACTGCAGTGTTATACAAGCACTGATTGTTCCTGTGCATTGTGTGTTTTTGTCTTTCAAGATCAACAGAGAACTATTTGAGCTCTTTGGAATGAAACAAATAGTATTGTCCTATCCTCAGACAGATGACACAAATGAAAGAACATGCAAGACAATCAAGACTTTCCTGAACAAGTACTGTGCAGACCACCCCAATGACTGGGATGATAATTTATCTGCCATTGCATATGCTTTTAACTTGACTCCCATGGTATGTGTACATTATGTCACTCTTGTTGGGAGTTGACTGAAGTTGTTATGCAAGTACCCACTAAGACAAGTACTAAGTTTGCCTGTGTTCTCCCCCTATAAATAGGCGCCAGTCCAAAACACACCATATTTCCAAATGTTTAATCGTAACCCTTATGTGTCTGAGACTTCAAATGTACCACAGGAAGCACAAGAGGATAATAAATGTATGTTTGCCAAAATCCTTGAAGCAATTAAACAGGCTGATCGAGTATTGGAGGAAAGGAAAGCTACAAAATGCCAGGTAAATACCTAATACTTAAGTTTCAGAGTAGCAGCCGTGTTAGTCTGTATCCGCAAAAAGTCTCTAAGGTGCCACAAGTCCTCCTGTTCTTCTTTTTGCTAATACTTAAGTGTTCTCAAAGAAGATTGACAAGAGTTAAGGTGAACATGTTTGAAATATTCAAACAAATTCATGATTTGTGCATGACCAAAGATCTTTGTATAACACTTCTGTATGCTTCATGGTAAACTCTGTATTCAATCAATGTTATGAAAACATGCAGCTCCTCTCAGGAAAACAAGCTATAATTCATGTTATTTCTCTATGTAGATTGTGAAAAATAGTATTGATGAACAGCAAACTGGAAACAAGGTCAATATTAAAAGGAAGCCAAAGCAAGTAAATCCATTTCATCTTAAAGTTGGACATGAAGTGCTTAGACAAAGGAAAAACTGGTGGAAAGATGGCCGTTTCCAATCAGAGTGGGTTGGTCCCTGTATTATAGACTACATCACAGATAATGGATGTGCAATACTAAGAGATACCACAGGATCCAGACTAAAAAGACCCATCAAAATGTCTCACCTTAAGCCATACGTAAGAAGATCCAATGGACAAGGTAAATCTGTTACTTCTCTAATTCCACTTGCTTTAGTGTCAGACAAGGGTATATTATTGAGCAAGAGGAAATCTTAGCAAATTTATCAGTGTTAATTACAAAGACCTTGTACTGCAGTCGGTGTATTTTCAACAAAGGAGGTTCTGGGGTGGGAACAGCATTAAGGAATCATGTTTAAACTCTTCTCCTGTTAGAAGCCAGTTCAACATGATTTGGCCCTAATAACACTAGCTGGTAAACACATTAAAAGCAGATTTAGGTTGAACTATGTTTAAAGTTTATTTCTTAACTTTGTTCCTGTCCCAATGAAGACAGGAGCAAAACTGCTGTGATTTTTGCATTTATTTGTTCATGGCAAAAAGGGGTAAACTATTTATTTCACATAATCTGGAATTTTGGATCATTCTCGGTAATCAAGAGAGAGCAAACAGCTGAATTTACAAATTCTGTAAAAAGTACCTATAATATAAAAAGTCCATGTATAAAGATGTGGGCAGTTCCTGTGTGTCCCCTGGTGACCCCCCCAGTGTGGTGGTGCTGCTGCAGGTGTGGCCTCCCCTTAACTTCCCCTAACTGGGGTGGCCATAGCCATGGGTTGCGGGGAGAAGCCAACACACATTAATAAATAAATAACATGTCTTCTTTTTAATAAGACTCCAGCACAGGACCAAGCACCATACCAGCTGATAAAATTCTCATCTCAGGGCCTGGGGTTATGTTTGGGAGCTCTGAACCTAAGACTAAATCAGGCTTGACTGGACTTCTGGAGCCAGAAAGAAACCACTACCCGTTGCAGCACATATGGCTTCTACTTCCCCCTTCTCTCTCAACTTACTCTTTCCTTCCTATTTATATATAGCCCAGCCACAGGGCAGGGACTCCTTGACAACCCTGTTAGTCTGTCCTTAAAGAGTAGTTACCATTTCAGTGGACTGTTTCTGGTAGGGTATCTTTCAACCTGTAGTGTACAGGGGAGAATGCTTTTAGTTATATTGCTAATTATTAAGGGTGTGAGCCACAAGGTACCTAGATGCCAAATTCCTATTTTAGGCACCGCTGCAATCCACAAAACTCCTGCTTGGCTGCCATCTAACCTTGTAGATGCCTAAAGTCACTCATCACCTAAGTTTCTCCTGTCTGAGCATGTACACTACTGCCTCACTATAGGGGTCGGGATGTCTATCTCCCATCTAAGCCCCAGAGTGATTCACAAAGCAGGAAAGTCATCTGGCCCAACTAAAGTTGCATGCAGGCCCAATCTGGTAGGTAGCCTCTGAGCACACCTACTGGCTAGCGAGCCTCAGGTGAATTCACACAAAATAGCCCTTATAACCTCCCTTTATAACCTTTAGCCTAACTAGGGGTAGAATACACACACAGGACTCCAGTTGAAGTCCAGCCTCCCCACTAGGCTATGGAATATTCTGAGATGGATCTCCCTCATCTCCCATATTGCAATTGTTCCACCTTTAATTACATAATTGAAGAGTAAAATATTAATTGGGCCAGGAAAGTGAGACTTACTGGCTCTAAAGCCTAGCAGTGCGGGCACTCTGATGCTTCTTCCCCTCAGAAGGAAGGGGGAATTGAAGCAAGGGTCTTGGACATCCTGCGTGAGTGCCCTATCCACTAGGCTAAAGGTTATAAGGGAGTTTCTTCTCCCCTTCCAGTTTCTTTCAGGCCCCACATGCAATTTAAAGTAAGATCAGCGTGCCTGGTTCATGGATTGGTTGTTAAGCAGATAGGTGGATCTGTACAGCCCAGAGTTAGATGTCTATTTCCAAAAGAAGGGCAGGGCTTAGCGCGCACACATCTTGTGAGCATCTCCCATTGGTAGTTTAAGGTGGCTGCCCACCTAGTGTGCTGGCTTTTGTGGATCCCATTCTTAGATACCTATTTCTCTTCACTTACTGTATGGGGAGACAAGGCACCTCACCTCAGGCTTCGCAGATTGCAGTGTTCCTGTGACTTTTCTAGGCACCTTACCACTCAGTTTTACAACCCCTAAGTCCCTTCATGGATCTGGGCCTAAAGTGTTATACTTAGGGAGAGAGTTACTGAAAGTGCCCCTACACATAGGGCTCTGGGCAGCGCTTACCTGGGCGGCTCCCCGAAAGTGGCGACATCCCTCTTGCTCAGCTGCTAGGCAGAAGTATGGCCAGGCAGCTCTGCATGCTGCCTCCGCCAAGAGCGCTGGCTTTGCAGCTCCTATTGGCCAGGAATCCCAGCCAATGGGAGCTGCGGGGGCGGCGCCTGCAGGCGGAGGCAGCGTGCAGAGCTGGCTGGCCACACCTCTGCCTAGCAGCTGAGCAAGGGGGATGTCACCACTTCTGGGTATTTCTCCAGGTAAGCACTGCCCAGAACCCACCTCACCCCATCCTGTGGCCCAACCCCCTGCTCTCTCCCACACCCAAACTCTGCTGCTGGGCTGGGAAGGCCCCGCCAACCACCACCACCATTGGGGGTTCCAGGCCGCATGCCACTGCCAGCTCTCCCCCTTCTTCCCTCTTCCCCCCTCTCCCCCCAACAGCTAGACCGCCCTCTTCCACCAACCAGCGGGGCCCCCAGGCAGCCCCCCAGCAAGTTTTATTCACTGGTATTTTTAGTAAAAGTAGTGGACAGGTCACGGGCCATGAATTTTTGTTTACTGCCCGTGACCTGTCCGTGACTTTTACTAAAAATACCTGTGACTAAAATGTAGCCTTACCCATGGCCTCTAATAACCCACCTTTACCCCAAAAAAGATTCCAACTGCAATCCCCCAGGAGTTTGCAGTCTGCTATGGGAAGAGCTGGATGAATAACGGATTTTTCAGTTTACTGACAATTCTGAAAAATTTGTTTTGACCTAAAATGAAACATTTCCTTTCACTTTTGAGTATGTAATGGTTTTCTTAATTATTTTTGTTTAGAAATTTCCTTTAATTTTTAAGAGTTTTCTTGAATTGAAAATTTGAAATGCTTGATGGGTTGGGTTTAAGGTTTTTTTGTTTGTTTCGTTTTATTCTTTGCTTTCGTAAAACAACAAAAAACAATGTGGCTAAATCACAATGAACTCGCTCAATGTTTTGGTGTAGCCAAGTCTCCATCTTTGGCTGAAAAAAATTTCACCCATCTCTAGCAGAGGTGGGTTGCTTAAGCTCAGCCTGCCTTTAACAGTTGAAATTCCTGACTAAATTATGCATGTTTCAGTCCTCCATCCCAGCTGTTCTCTATGGTGACACTAGGACCAGACAAAACCTCCTGGGATCCTGCTGGAGTTAACCACACAGATACTGGAATGTGTTTTCGTTTAAAAAAAAAAAAAGTTGCTGAATGATCTAATTCAAAAGATCCTAATGCAAATTAGCAGTTAGCTAAGTATTTCACTCTTTGGATTCCCCTGGTCAGCAGCCATGTGAGACAGGACTGTAAATCTGCAGATTTAGAGAACTCAGTAATTCTCTTCCTTTCTAAAAGGTAAGGAGTGTCAACCTGCACTGATTTTTAAACACTGAACAGCCTCAACTCAAATGAAAATCTTCAGTGCTTACCAGTCAAATTACAACCCAGCACTTGGGCACAAATATCATAGAAGGAGGCGTAATATCAGTGGTGCAAGTAGATTTTTAACTCTCACCGGTAGGATACCGCCCCCGACACTGTTCCCCCTCACAAAAAATGTTCCGTGACCTAGAGCCCTGTGTGAATACAAATTTATACCCGCGCATGTGGATATCTGCGGATAGAAATCGGTATCTGCTGAATCCCAGGGCTCTCCTGGGAACTGCAGCGGCGAAAGGAGCAGAACATGGGGTTGCCGCTCCCAAGAGCCAGTGCCCTCCGCTGGCAGCTCCACCACCTCTTCCACGCAGCTGTGTCTCCTGTCTTGGGTCTGAACAGCCCAGCCAGAGGATGGGGCTGGAGGAGCGGCGGCCCCACATTCTGCTCCTTTCGCTGCTACAGTTCCTGAGGTTCTGCGGATATCCACATCCGCAGGTATAAATTTGTATCCGTGCGGGGTTCTACAATTCATTCTTGAAAATGTATCTTTCCGTTACGGCGTACCAGCAATAAATTTCTTAATGGTACGGTGTACCTGACTGTAACGGCTTACTTGCACCACTGCTTAATATACAGTAGCATTCAATCTTTCCTTTTTAAAATGCTTTCAGTCTGCAGTGTGTGTGTGTGTGTGTGTGTGTGTGTGTGTTCTATATGTCAGAAAACATTGTGATGTAGTATAAAGGGTTTAAGGTTTTCTAGCATGCATTTGGGATGGCCACATTTAATCATAAGTATATAAAGAAAGAAGAATCCAGGATCAATTGCTATAAAGCACTGATTTCAGCAGAAGCTGTGCTGGTGCTCCGTTTGGCCCACAGACACACAGCAAAATGAAGCATTAAAAATAAAGGAATGTACACCACTATGATGGCATTACAAGCCTTACCTTAGAGGAGAGGAGACTGAAAATTTGGTGCACATAGACATTAAGGGCCAGAAATTCTGTCCATATTGTAAGATTGACTTCACAAAAATATTCCAGCCATGCTATTGAAACTGCTTTGAAAATGGGTTAGCACCCAGCATCATCCTTTTTTAAGTCTTTCTGTAATTATATAGAATGACTTTAAATGAAGTAGAAAGGGCCACTCTAACCAAAATGTTCTTTGTTGTTGCAGACAACCGTTATCTCTTACAAGGTGCAATAGTGGTTGACCATGACTACGTTGGCTTATCGGAAAGTTTGTATGGGCTATGCCCACAAGATACCATTGCCGAAGGGGAAGTAAATACCCTTGCAGCAAACAATCTGCTGCCTCCACCCTGCAAAGATGGTGAACCATCAGAATGTAAAAGTCGGTCTGAGTTTACTGAAGATCATAGCATTCTGCCAGCTAACTCAAATCCAGAACAATGGTCTTCAGCCTGTTGGACTCTTCAAACCAAGCTAGAGGATACTTAATAAAATCCCACAATGTTTCACTAGAAGAAATGGTCCTATTCTTCTCTGGTGGAATGGAAAGGACTTTAGTAGCTTTAAATTCCTTAGCCAAGTTTTAAATATTGAAATGTTAGATACTATTATTCCCAAACATATACAGTTGTAAATACAAGTATGTGTCTGGTAATTAGTTTGTATATATGCACTGACATGCTATGCTTGTTTTACAAGGAATATGGGAATAGTTTAGTAAAAGCACATTTCACCACTATACAATGGGCAGTGTGGTCCTAGCCACAGCACATTAGTCCTTAACCACAGAACTACAGCATAGCATTCCATTTTATGGCCTCTTCACTAGTCATGTGCGTGGTTCAAGAGCTCTGACAGCTCCAGGACTGTAAGCTGAACAACCTGACCAAAGTCTGCCTCCAGGAAGGTGAAGTGGTTCACACCCTCTTACTATTCTACAACTTTGTTTCCAGCTCTTTGGGGAAGGTGTGAGCTCTGCCTTTTATACCTTCTATTCTTCATCGCTGGCACAAGACTCTACAACCACATGAAATAGCAGAGCTGCCAAAGCGCAGTGCAAGAACTGTTCTGCTTGAGAAACAAATAGCTCTACAGTGACATAGGCAGAATTTCACCAGTTTTACTCCTAGCCCATCAAAACGCTTTAAGGAAAGGAGGTTTTTAGTCTTTTAGTCACGTTGAGGCTGCCTAAAGCACAAACAGGGACTGTCTCTGCTCATCTCCATATCATCTTCAAAGCAAATCTCAGATGTAGCCTCCTTGCAGCGTGAGCACCACACCAATGGGTTTGTGTAGGTGCTTAGGACTGCCTGGCTGGATGCTTAGTCTGTCCCTGTCATGGGTGATTTTTATCATGCCATCATGTGATTGACCGTGTAGTGACAGTCCTTGGTAAATGTGTTGTGTGGTTCACTGATCTTCCAGCTCTGAATCTGTCTGCAGTCTCCCTTACCATACTTTCTTTTCATAAAAAAAAACTTGCTCTAAACCTAGGAAGAGCCCTGCTCTTCCTGACATCCCCACATCTTACCTTGTCTCTCTCTGAAAATTTACTAAGATGAGTTGTGAGCTGGAGGGGAGAAAAATTACCATGTGTGCATGCATAGGAGCTTTTGTACTTGTGTGCTTGGTGCTGTGGTGCACCTTTCAGAGTCCCAGAACCACAAAACAACACAATGGGGCTAGATCCAGGAACCATGGAAGTAGATAATTACCACTCATTGATTAAGCGAAGGAGCCCAGGGCTGGGAGCTTTAGTCTAATCTCTTTCACTGACTGGCGTTACTTGTTTTCTGCACTTCGTGACCCCTATTGTTGACCAAGGCTTCATACTTCCAGTGCTATTCCCCTTAGTTCATAGTTTTGATAACAGTACTAGAAGATGCAGAAGAAGAGCTGGTTGGAAAATAATTCTTCTGCCTGAGGGAAAATTTAATGAAAAGTTAGTTTCACTTTTTTTTTCATGGAGAATTTTGATTTTTTTGGTAAAAATTGAAAACCAAAAAATTTCAGCTGAAAACCAAAATCTTCATTTTGGCAATACCCCCACAGGGCAGATGGGGAGTATAAATTTAGGTACCTTATGCCCCCATTCCTCTCTTTGGGATGGGCTCCCTGGCCAGCCTGTATCTCCCCACTTGCCTAGCTGCTGTGGTACATCATTGGAAACTTGGTCTAATGGGTGAGCCTGGCCCCTAGAGGAAAATGGGGGCATGAGGCACCATGCTAGCGTTTCCTAATCTGATTTTTTGGGGTTTGGCCCAAACCTTTTCAAGTGATAAATTTTTGGACAAAAAGTAGAAATAGCTGCAACAAGCAGACATTACTCGTGAAAAAATTATTTTTGTCATAAACCCAATTTGCCACTGCTAAACAGTTTTCATTGAAAATTGCTTATTGAAGGCTCAGCTAGGAAGGGAACCCAGGACCAAGATTTTCAAAAGCTGCTATTGAATCTAGGTGGCCAGTATGAGATGCCTGTAAAAGAGACTTAACTGTAAAAACTGCCGAGTGTCCTCTGGAAAATCAGGTCCTGAACATAGAGGAACTCAGTTTTGCCCACTAAGTGACACTGCCTGTTGGAAAGAATATGCAAAACCTAGGTGCTTTGCTATGCTGTCTGTAAAATAAGTCTGCTTTCCACATACCCACTTTACCAAGCACTTTTGAGACCCACGGATGACTGAGGGTTATATCATTCATAGACAAATACACAGTAACCAGGAAACCTATATCTCAGACCCCTGCTTTAACCACCAGTTTGCACTCGCCTCCCAGAACCAAGAACAGAATCCAGTAATCCTGATCTCCAGCATCCTAGTGCTATCTAGAAAACAGTGGTGCATAATGCACTTTCTTTGGCTCGGTCTTAAAACTTTTTAAAAATAAAATCTTAGGAAATTCCATTTACAAAACCATCATTATTAAGGTTAAAAAGCCAAGCATTCAAATAGGAAATAACTGTAACCTTAATTGTGCCCATGTGCTTTACCAAAAATTTATCACTTGAAAAGGTTTGGGCCAAACCCCAAAAAATCAGATTAGGAAACGCTAGCATGGTGCCTCATATCATATAATCTGGAGTTATAGGATCACATACTATTTTTATAGGACTCCTGTTTTGAAGTAGAGGGCCAGCTGTTCTGAACCATTGCATGCTCCCTGTATTCCTATATTTTTCCCAATTGGAATTTCACCCATCAGGGGTCAGCCTGGCAGCGCCAGCTCCTCTAACCTCACGTCCATAGCATAAGATGCACTCTAGCAGTCCCCAGCTAGGGGACAGTCTCTTGGCTTCAGGAATAAGATCAGACAGAGAACTAGGGAGCTGCCTCCTTTGTTTCCCTCACCCCCCTGTGGGGTTCAGCAGAGCATCTGACCTGGATGTTTTTCACCAGATACTAACTGGCCTTCTCTATGTTTGTGCAATACCTAGCCTCATGGGGCCCTGATCCAGATTGAGGTCTCCAGGCATCAGTATAATACAAATAATTAATGAGCGCTTTCGTAGTTACAGTGCCCAAAATAGAGAGCACCAAACTGACTATGTGTTGGACAGGAAAGTAAAGGGTTGAATGCACTAAAAGGAATGACTAGAATACATGATACTAATATTTCATATTTCCTGGTAATTGCACAGTGGCAGCTACACATGAGCTCCTCAGCTCAGCTGACTAGATCCCTCGCTGGGTGTATATATAGTCAGGAAGATATTTAAGAGTTTTAGGCAAATTAGCAAAAGGAATTGGGAATTTCTGGAGACTTGTTCAAATTTGTCGTAACAGCCAGGAGCAAAATTGGAAGAAAGGCAGGAGAAAGTCTGAACCATTTCTGCAGGTAGGGTTGACAACCAGCCATGCTCAGAGAAGTATCATAGAAATACTTCATACACTTATTATAGAAAACTATTCTACTGACTCTGTTTCTGACATTCATTGAGTTCTGTCTTCCAGGAGAAAACTCAGACCCACTGTTTCATCAAGACTGCCTGTCTGCTCTATTCACTGCACATGCATTTAATTTACAAGGGGACACGCCTCAACTTCCCTAGTCAATTCTTTAAAGGGTGGTTTGTGACACATTGTGGTGTTTATAACTAGAAGGGGGAAAAAATGAGCAAATATGTTCAGGGAATTCAGAGAGAGAGAGAGAGGTGAAGTTGGTGAATTCCCCAGTATAGAAACATGAAAATGTTTCTATCTGGTTAGTGTACTAGAATTATTTACATATGCAGTTAGTTGAAATAAATGATGGAAATTCACTATGCTATAGTAAGAGGGTCTTGTTCAACAGTAGATGTGTGTTTAAACAAGGGAGCCCAGAGTATAACAGTGACTTCTTGACCTTGCCATTTCTCCTGCGGGGGTGGTTATAAACATACTATCCTAAAATGTTTACTTTTTAAGTACGGACAATGTATGGACAGTTCTTAGCTTTTTGCAGTAGGCTTAATATTCCACAGTGGAGAAGGCTGTTATGAGTCATCATGTGCTTTTCACAACAGGCAGCTCTTGGAAATGTCATTCTTCAGGACTAGATTAATTTCTTATTCATGTGTACAGCCAAGATCCATGACCTTTTGTGACACGTAGTTATTTTAATGATCTAGCATAATAAACTGTTATCACAGAAACCCCTCCTGATATTTTCAAAAGTAGGCAACGGCATATGGCATATTTTTCTTTTGGGAATGGAGCTGATGCAGACAATTAATGGGCTAGCTAAAAATAAGATGGGTGAACTCTAGAAGCTCAGCAGGCACTGGAAACAGAGGAAAGCACATCAGCAGCCATCATAATCTGCTGGCCTAAGTTGAGTGCACTTCTCTGTCTTGCTCTCAATTCAGTCTAAGGAAATGCTATTATAAGACATTGATGGTAGGAAGAGTTTTAAATTAAAAGAACAAAAAATGATGGAGAAGAAAAGAGAATTTAACAGTGTCTACCGAGAAATAGAGATAATGTTGCTTTGTAGCACATTAAAAGAATTTCTGGGCCAAGGTAGAATTTTTTTAAAGACATTATCTTTTAGACATTTCTAACAATAATAAAACAATGTCAGAAGGAAGTTTCCATCAAGTGGGAAGAGTCCTCTAGGAGGAAATCTGATATAAAAACACCTCATTCTGGAGGTGTGAATGATTACCTTTGTCTATTATTCTTGACAGAAATATTCCCCTTTCAGTTCTTGCTTCTTCCTATGTGACTTTTTATATATTATTACACCAAAACGTACATTATTAAGGTTGCAAAGTCAAACATTCACAAGTTAGGAAATGCTAGAATTAAGGCTACCAGTGCAACCTTAATTCAGCCCCCCCCTTGGGTATCATACTCCATACACAGTGTTTAATTACATAATCACATACCACTTTCTCCACAGGACTCCCTGCCTCATTCAGTGCACAGGTCTACTTGGTCCGTATGTTCACACAGATCCCTATCTACCAAACCAAAAGGACCTCCCACTCTTCAGACGGGAACGGGTGTAAAAGACCATAGGAATCCCCTGAGTCTAGGAGATGACAAATGAGAAAACAAAGTGAATGTTCTAGAGGGGCACATCAAGCAGAGAACCACTAACAGCACCCATTGCTCCTCAGAAAGAGTCCAGGGAATGAGTGGATGCCCCCAGAGAAACTCTGCCCCGAGATGTGATCAAACAAGTGATCATAAGTGGGACCCACAGTTGCAGTCACAAAGGGCATCACTACAATCCAACCGCCTCCTTCTTGACTGATAGATGGCCATCCCAGGGCTAGGCAAAGGCTAACAAGAAGGTCCAGAGACTTTGTGGGGCCATAGATAGGCTGTGACTAAATAAAAAACTGCAAGGGAAAAGAGCAGTCATCACCCTCACCAGACCCTACTCAGTGAGGGCCACTTCCTACCTGCATCGGGCGGCTGCAGCGCCCAGTCCCGGCTCCACAGGTAAGACCATCCTGATGTGGGGGTGGGGTGAGGAGGGAGGTGAGGAGGAGAAGAGCAGCAAGTGACAGGGGGAGGGAGGAAGAGGAGTGAACAGACAAGGTCTTGGGGGAAGAGGCAGGGTAGGGGCAGAGCCTCAGGGAGATGCTGGGCATGAGCAGTGCCTTGGGGAAAGAGGCAGGGCAGGGGAGGTTCTGGCACTCCTGCTGGAGTGTCCAGTTTTAAATGTTACAAAGTTGGCAACCCTAGGTCCACACAGAACTTTACCTCCCTGGAGCAGAGGGTGGGGCAACCCCAGAGCCAGCTGGCCCGTCCGACTGACTGTAGTCCAGGAAGTCTCTGACTTTGGTGACACCACCCAGGACCAGCCTCCAACATACCGGGGAGAGGGGGGGGGGTGTCTCTGCCACCTATGCTGTGAGACGTGGATTACACAACAAAGGTTCATAACCTTGGCAGCTGTGACGGACCTGGTTACAGAGACAAACTTCCAGGAACCAGATCGCCTGGAAGATCACTTGGAGGCCCCTGCCTACCATAAGGGACTGCTCCCCATCAGTGACCGAGATGAGTTCCACCTCAGCACCAACAGGGGGAACAGTTGGCAGAAAGGCAGTGGGGGGTGGGGTGGGGTGGGCTTTGAGGCTTCCTCCCTAAGTGACTCTGTGAGGTGGGTGGCATCACCCCTTTCCCCACTGCTGCCAGAGCCTCCTCAGCCAGCTCTACCTGCTGGACTTTTATGAGGGGCATGGAAGCAGGCCCAGTTGTGGCCCCCCAGAAGCTTATGGGAGACCTTCTCCCTCTGCTTGAGAGGGAGGTGCTAGGCCTGTGCCTTACAATTGCTGCACGTTACCTCCATAACCAGTACTCAGACCTCTGTGGTGGTGTCATTAGAGAGCTGGCCAGCAGGGGTGGGTCCAGGAGAAAAGGGCAATGGGATCGGGGTTGGGGAGGCAGGGCTGGGGTAATAGAGAGCGGGGGGTCAATGTGCCTCCAAAATGGGTCCTCTCCTGGGCTCCCTGGCCACTGCCACCTCCTCCCTTTCATCAGCTGGGTGCAATATTGGGGGCCACCTCTGGCACCTGAGCAAAATTGTTGGCTGGTGGAGGATGAAGAGAGGTAACTGATTGGGTAAGGTTGCTGGTGGTGGCAGGGTTGGCACCCTTCTGAGTGCTGGGACGACCCAGTGTCCCACCTTGCTGAGCCAAGGAACAGTCCTTCCAGATGTGTCCCAAAGTCCAGCAGATGATGCACCGAGCCTTCCAAGCAGAATAATGGATCTGGTTTAGGGCATCTTGGTAGGGCACCAGGAAGTACCCCTCCAAACTTCCCCTGCCACAGGCAACTGGATAGTAACTTGCCAGCAGAACAAGAAGACATGACAGAGAGTGAGGTCCTTATAGCCCAGCAGTGGAGACCAATTTTCCCAACTTGGACAGGGGAAGCAGAAGGGCAGCACTGGGGAGGAAGGGTGGGACTGAGATGAGGACACACCCAGGTCTTCCAAGAGCTTGAATGGCCCAAAGAGGCCCACCGCCTCTTGGGAGTGTTCCCCAATACCAGGCGGAAGACAACCTCCCCATATGTCTTGGAGGTAGCTACGCTGGCCAAGGGTCCCACCACTCATGCCAACACCCACACATAAGTTTCTATGTGAGATAAGGTGGCCAGCAGGGGGCAATGGATGCCGTGCTTCCTCATCAGGATGGGGAAGGGGCCCTGGCTGCTGTTGATGGTAGAGGAAGTGGAGGCAGTAGCAGTCAGAGGGGCTGTGGCAGATGGTGATGGGGTTGGGAGACGGGGCCATGGCCACCTGGGTGTACACTCTGGGGGCTGAGAGCAAGGGGTCATGGGGAGTCACAGCCAACGGTAGCCAATGTGGGGGCCACAGCAGTAGCCCTTTCTGCTGATTGAAGGGACTCCCTTGGCAGTGGTGGGAGGTTTGGAATCAGCGTCCCTGCTTGTGACAGCTGCTGCTCACAGGGGGCACTGATGAGCCTGGCAGTAATGTTGTGGTGGTAACCACGAGGTCAGATGGGGAAGAAAGCTGAGGTGGGGCAACAATGGTGGCTGGGGATTCCCCCAGCTACCCCCTCCATCATTTCCCCCCATGGGTGAAGCAGCCAGAATAGAAACCTTGCACTTGGCTGGGTTGGGAGGGTTGATCTACCATTGAGGGCAGGAGAGCAGAACAGCCACCAGAAAGGAGGATAGAAATAATAAAGGGAAGGGAGGGAGGCAAAATGGAGGTTGGTCCGTTTTGTATTAGGCTACTTGTGTGGTAGGAGGGTGCAGACAAAAACTGGGGGGTGGGGGGAGAGGGCTTAATGAAAAAGCAAGGAGGGTGTGGGGCACAACAGGCAGTGTGGGGGGGCACTGGCTCCTCTGGTTACATTGGGTTAGTGGCTGCTGTAAGAGTGAGGGGTGCAATGAATAGGGCAGGGGGTCGGCAACGTTCGGCACGCGACTCGCCAGGGTAAGCACCAGTTTTATTTACCTGCTGACACGGCAGGTTCGGCCGATCGCGGCCCCCACTGGCTGCGGTTCGCCGTCCCGGGCGAATGGGGGCGGCGAGAAGCCGCGGACAGCACATTGCTCGCCCGCGCCAC